GGCTGGTATTACCTGCAGGCAAGGAGCTTGCATAGCATGGTGCAGCTGGGAAGCCTGAAGTTGGGAAGCTGAGGGTTGGGGGCTGAGGCACCTGCATGGCATGGTACAGCAGAGGTGGGGGTCCCTGCATCGTGTGGTGTGGTGTGGTGTAGTGGGGCAGGGGTCATGGCCTTCACTGATGTGGCCTATGGGCTACACAGCCCCTGGCTGTTTAAAAGTTGGATAGCCCTAGGCCAGTGGTTTTCAACCTTTTTTCATTTGCAGACCCCCTTGGAAATCTTGAATGGAGCTCCATAGCCGTTTGAATTGTACGTGTGGTTATTCATATACTTTTGATTGATCATAGTTATCATTCACAGACCCCTTAGACATAGTCTGCAGATCCCCAATAGGTCTGCAGACCACAGGTTGAAAACCACTGCCCTAAACTATATGATTAAATTAGGGGAGTGACTTCTGATTAGATAACAACTCTTAGATGTGGGTAACAGATAAGAATTCATAAGAAATCAAGAGAGGTTTTACAATATTAGGGTGAGAGTGGTGACATGTAGATAAGAGCTAAAACAAAGAAAAATAAAAAACAGTTGGGAGGAGGAGGGAGAGAGAGAGAGAGATAAAAGAAAAAGGAAATGTACCAGATTTAGGAAAACAATAACAACTAAATTTAATAGTGGCACAAATACTAGAAGACCTTTACATAGCCCTTTCCTCCCTTCCTTTCACTTCTAACCACTCCCCTCTACCCCACCAAACCTGCAAATGCAGCTTTGTGTTCCTTCTTTTCTACTCTTGTCTGTATATTGCCTGTCTAGACTAGAGAGTCTCCGAGCAAGGCTCTCATTGATGCATAATTTGTAAAATATATAAAATAAAGACTATAGAGATGAGAACTATAGATACAAGAAATCTGTCTGACAGTCATGTTACTGAGAATGGACACCAAGTTATCTCCTGAAACAAGAAACCGAAACCCTTCCAGTCCCAGGGTAGGTATTAAACAGACTCTTTCTCTGTGAGCTCTTTGGAGCCATTCCCTTTCTCCAAGACACATAAAGTGAAACCAGGCTACTTGTCCTGTTACAAGACTTCTTTTCTGGCAGTGTAAGTATGAGCTGATTTTACCCAATAACTGGGAAAATTGTATTAGGATTTAGACAGTAATGGCTCAGCAAAGAACAATAAAGTTCTCTATTTACTCTTAAATATTGCTAAGGCTATTGAAATGGAATGGGTATTGACAGTAACTCACTGAGCTATTAAATAGATGACAGTTGCCTTGACAGAAGTTCAGAATATATAATTAGCACAGTAGTGAATTGAATAATTACTGGCACTTGTGCCTCACAATATCATCAAATGATTAATAGGTGAATGAAAAGCTCAAATGCAATAATCTACCATATTGTTTTCCTGAAAACAGTTCTAAGAATAAAAACCTATTTACAGTCATATTGGATTACATATAAACTTTATTAATTTACCAGTAAATTTATCAATAAATTCACCGTGGCCCAAAGTGGGACTTCTGGTTCCATTTTTGCCCTGTCGACTGGCATGCCAGTTAATGAAGTGCCAGATAACACGGCTTTTACTGTACTTTGAAAAGCATCATTTTAATACAGGCAAATAAATACTTCTCCTAAGTATAGATAGCCACCCCCCCCCACAACTCCCACTGCATCCTCCCTTTCTCCACATTTGTTAAATGGGTCTACTAACACATCACTGGGTGCATTTACACGTGCAACTAGCATGTAGCAATAAACTCCAGTGCCAGTCACAATGGAGTTTATTGCTCCTGGGCTCAGTGTTTACAAGTGTTCTCAGAACCATAGCATGTTGAGCCAGGGCGGAGCAGCCCCATCTGGCAGGGGTCTGCAGGTTCAGCTTGCCAACACAGGGCTGCTTTGCCCTGGCTCAGTGTGCTGCAGAGGGGCTGGCTGGGGCATGAGGGTGCTGCAACACAGGGCTAGCCAGCAGGCAGTCCCCACACTATAGCACCCTCATGACCCAGCCAACCAGGTCACCGCCTACATGTGTATTTCAGTGCATGTAACTACTCCTCTGTAGGATAGTATTTGTCCCAAACAGTAATTCCTACAGCAGAGTTAATTAATTTACTGTGCCCTAATATGGGTGCCATGGACAGGACAAAGTGGTGTTCCCTTCTCAATCATGGAGTCCAATATCATGACAAGAAATCATTACTCAAATTATAACAGAAATGTGACTAAAGGAAACAGCCTGTCAGTACAGTAACTCTTAATGCCATGTACACCTGTGACCATTGTGGCAGGACTTGCAAGTCTAACATAGGTCTCGATAGCCACAAGAGAGACTTCACTACCTGTTAATCAAGTAGATGTAATATCCACTGTCACTCACTGATGAATGGATGCCATACAGTACCTACATGTGTAGACAGTGACACTTTACTGTGGAGCTAATTAGTCAGCTGTACAGTAAAGCGCACGTGTAGGCGCGCCCAGTAATTTCTAAGTTAAGGTTGCTCAAGAGTCCTTTACAGCCATGCTCCTGCACCATTGAACTCAATGTGAGCAGCCTCACAGTCTTTCACAGCCTTTTATTACAAGAAAGATGTTTAGTTACAATGACATATGGTCACAAGGTGATGAAATTCTCCCTTGTGCTGAGGGACAGCTCAAGACTCATATGTCACTTAAATCCCACTTTCATCTTCAAAATAGGGCTAAAGTGATGCATAGTCACTGGGTTTGCTTACTGCCCAGGGGTGAGGAAATACATTATTACAAAAGAGTGAGCAGATTGTTAATTTGGGAATCTGAAAAGAATTCTACAACTGGGGCACAGAGCGTGCTTTATTTTTAATTGAAGCATTAGAAACAGTGGATGAAATTCTACCTGAGTAATTCCCTGGGAAGGGCCATTGGTAGACCTAATCCTTCTCTTTGCCTTATTTATATTTTTATGTTAATGACCACCATCATTTCTAATAAAATGTGATCACCAGAGTGCAATTTCAATTGCCAGCATTGCCAGTCAGGACACGAACGGCGTGGCCTTTGTAGTTGTCAATGTCAGAGTAATAAATTCTTAGATAAAATTACTCTTTTTGAAGGGATACACATAGCCCAGTTCTCCACTTGAGTCACCTTATGGTGTACAATGAGCAGTCAGCCTTGTCAGAGGTGCTGTATAATGAACATGCTGCTCAGGCATTTTAACCAATCAATCAGTGACACCAGAGCAAAGAAAGCTGATAAGAAAGGAGGATGGGAAAATGAAGTATAAGGAGGTTAAAAAATGGATTGAGGTAGTAGTGAGTTTGACAAGGGTTATAATTTATCTATCTTGATGCCCCTGATGTGAAGTTATCAACAGGGGCTTTTTTCAGTAACACCATTCTAAAGCAGAATCTTTTTACTGCTCTATTTTCTTTTGAAGTCTACAAAGCTGAGATTCATAAAAGTACCTTTCGAAACCTTAGAGCTGTGTACCAACTAGAAATGTGTGAACTGATTTGGAACTTACCCATATCAAATCAAATGAGAATTTTTTCCAGATTCAGAAAAGGTTTGGTTCGGTGTTTCTTCCATGTTCTTTCATGGCTTCACTTTTTTTTTGCTAGGATTGGTAGCAAAAAGAAAAGAAAATTAAAAATCTATCTAGGTGCCAACCAAACCTCATATTAATTTAGTTAGAATTAATTATACCATCAAGTACATCCATTACATCCGTCCATGGACAAAATTAACCACCTGTTTTGATGACAATAAATGGAAATCATATGAAAGCTGCTATTGCAGAGGGAAATGACTGTTGCTTAGGCCTATGTATGGATGCAGTGGGAGAAATATAGTTATCCTGCTTTATACAGAATGATGGAAACTGTGCCTCATAATCCTATTTGTGAAAGAAAACTCTGTTTACTGTGAGTGCCCTGAACAGATCAGGTTGCCACTACCCTGGTGTCACAAAGAGAAAACTGGGTCCAATGGCTCTATTCTTACATGAATCTAAGGGCCCAGCCCCTTGAAGTCCCACACACAGTGGGAAGAGCTGTGACAGTTGTAGAGCCACAGTCGTGGTGACTAAAATTGAGCAGACCCATGTCCAGATAAGGGCTTACTTCCATTTCAGAAAGATCAGTAAAACATCTCTGAAAAGGTAGGCATGGATACCTGAAGGTCAGGTGAAAGTCTGGAATGGCTGAAGGAAATTTTAAATATGAAAGGGACTTTTAACTGAAAAAATGGTAAATCAGAGAAATGAAACACAAACAATAGAGCTAGTGAAACTATTGAATATCATTAGGTGTGTCTACATGTTCATTAATGCGCTGTAATTACAGTGTATTAAGTTTAGTACATGTAATCACAGCTACTAACTTAATGCTTCATAATCCATGCTACTGCACATTAGCACCGCATGCTTTTGAAGTGACGCTAATGCACAATAGACTAATTCTACAGCGCATTCGCATGGTTTTTTTGTGCTGCACTAATGCATAATATAATTAGTCTATTGCACCATTAGCATCTCATGTAGATGCTCCCACTGACTCCGAAAGTGACATACACTCAAAACCAAACAAATTAGGTCTCTTCTCTCCTGTGATGCAGGTTCTGTTTGATGGCATCCAGAATGTCTGTTGAGAGTAGAAAAAAGGACAAAATATGGTTCCAGTTCTGCAGAAGTTTATCCCAAACATGGACTTCAACATGGAGTCCCATCAATTTCAAATGGTAACCCATTACACAATTGGGAACTATTGGCCAGATTTTCAAAGACATTTAAGTGCCTAGTGATTTAATATTTTCAGAATTGCCCAAACAGATACGGTGTCTATCCTCTGTTGGTTTCAATGAAAATATAGCCTTATGCCCAGGCCATATCATAGATAATCACAGAGGAAATTTACTTATATATTTTATAAACAGAATTTGCCAGGAATATGCAGGCTATGTCAAGCGTATTGAAATACATGTCCTAAAGTCACTTTTCCTGTGCTATAGTTGTTTTATCAAGTGGAAGGAGACATGTGTCTGAAGATAATAGAAAATGGAAACCATAAAGATATCTTTATCAGAGAAGGGGAGGTAAATATATGTTTGTTGTTATGTGTGTGCATGTGCACGTGTGTGTGTGTTTAAGCTATGATTATAACAAGTCTTTTAAGTGAACCTTCAGCTCTGCTACAAAATAAAATAAAGTGATGATTTTAATGCGGAACTCAGTATAGTAAATACTATTACGGAAGCTCTTATACTAAGCACCTCATGCTAATCACTTGTCTGGAGAGAACTCTATTCCTCATGATCCAGATGCTTGCTCTTTTGGAGGAATGCCCATGGAGGATTAGTCCAGGAATCTTCTCGTGCTAGCAACAAGCTTTCCCTTAATTTCTCTTACCATTGCTCAGAAATTAAGTAATTTTTTAAATTTCAAATATGCTGACTCTTCACTTTTGATTTTATCTAACTGTGATGTTGAAGCTGACAGGTGACTAACTCCCTACGCATGGAGGTAGTGCTGCTGAATCAAAGGTTGTCATTAACAAAGCACCACACTGAGAAAGCTTGCAACATTATCTGTTCTATTGCTGATATCGATGTGGGCTTACTTGCCAAGGAACATCATAATATCATTGAGGATTAGAGTAAAAGTAGAAGGGAACAAAGAAACATGAAAAAGAAAATTAGATCTAAATGACAATGTAGTGGCTAATCTCCCCGATTTCTTTGTCTGGACAGATGTTTCTCCTACCTGCCAGGATACCGCATTCTCCTCAAAGATACACAAACACTGTTGGACTCGTGATTGAGAGAAAAAGGTTAAAGACAGAAACAGATGGACTCAGGTGAAACATTATTTTCTTTGTAGGGCAGTTGTCTAATCTATTAGTCATAGTATGAGAACCAGTTCCCATTTCAGCACTATTCTCCATTCTACTGTATACTGATAAACCACCATATTAGTGCTGGCAAGTCTGTGTTTGGATCCTATGTGAATTCAGACTGAGGACATAAAACATGTGTACTATCAAGTGAATTTCCTTTATTCCAGAGTGGGGAAGGTAGATACAACATAAACCCTTTAACTGGTATAAGTCTTTTCACTCCATGGTAAAGTTGTATGGGTAAATTACACAAGCATACCAGATATGTGTCATTTCCTCTAGTCAATTTCAGACCTTCCACCTATCCCACAACAAGTCTGATCAATGCAACCAGCTCTTGCCATTTAGTGGTCAGGGATTATAGTAGGACTTAGTATGGGCAGCTAGCTTGAGGAAAATGGTCATGTGTCCACACCTTACTAGGCACATCTACATGTTCATATTAAGGCAAAGCAATAAACTCTGTTGCATAGTGCAAAGGAGTTTACTGCTCCCAGGTGCCGCGTTTACATGTGCGCCCAGGACTGTAGCATGTTGAGGTGGATCGGAGCAGCCCTGGCTGCCAGGTGTCCTGGGGTTCAGTCTGCTAGCCAGGGGCTGCTCTGACCCAGATCAATGCACTGAAGAGGGGTTGGCACAAGGGTGCTCCAGTGTGGGGCTAACCAGCGGGCAGCCGCAACACTGAAGCACCCTCATTCCCCAGCCAGCTGGGTCAGTGTCTACACACGCACTGCTGCTCATCAAAAAACTCCACAGCAGGATAGTACTTGTATTTTCAAGTACCAACCTACTGCAGAGTTTGTAAGTTTCTTGCAGCCTAATAGGGCTGCATGTGCAGATGCCCAAGAAGGGCTCAAAATGAGTCGAAACAGCGTCGAAATGAAACTGCCAGAGGAATTTTGCACAGCCCTACTATTCATGTAATTTATAGAAGTCTTTAAAAAGTGCAATAACATCTAGAGTTACAAGTTTTTTATTGACTACATTCAGGAAGACATTAAATTGAACAGCTGTGTTCTTTCTACTTGCATATCAAAGCAAAACTAAGCTCCCTATAGTGGATATGCAAAGCCAGAGGAATAAGTATGAGCAAATGGAAAGTTTAAAGTAAGGAATGAAAGTGCTGTGAATAGCACCATTCAGAAAGTCACCTCAGTGGATCCCAAGTTAACTCAGTTCCAATTCACTTGACATATTGTTCAGTTGTGGTACTGTGCCTTTCTTTCTCAACAGATCTGTTAGCCATGAGCATTCATATAAAGAAGTATTCCTGAAATTATTTCCAAAATAATAAAGATACTTTTTGTTGGAAACATAGCTGACTAATGGTTTATAAAAACATCATGCTTTGGAAAAGTTAATTTTCAAACAAGTGATATTTTATAACGTTACCAAGGAAATCTTTCTGCTTCATACATGTAGTCAGAACATTACCATGGAAATCATATAAAAGCTGCTATTGCAGAGGGAAGTGACTGTTGGTTAGGCCTATGAATGGATGAAATGGGAGAAATATAGTTATCCTGCTTTATATAGAAGGATGGAAACTATGCCTCTTAATCCTATTTGCAAAAGAAAATTATGTTCACTGTGAGTGCCCTGAAGAGCTACTACCCTGGTGTCACAAAGAGAGAACTGGGTCCTTGGAACATTACCAAGGAAATCTTCTGCTTTATACATGTGGTCTGTAGATATAATAGTATAAAAATTAAAAAGGTGGTTTCTAAGAACTCCACATGGAGTTGTATATTCATTGCCTGATATCTTCTAATCTATAGAAAAATGTAAGAAAAATTAAAACATTCTGGTTTCTAACTGAGCAAATAAGTTGTATTACCAAAGTATACTCTCCAAGGCCATATAGAGTAGGGTCATTGAAAGCTTTGGTTGCTGATTTGATTCGGTGGAGATGTGGCCCAATTTAGTGGCTGAATCTCCGAATCTGAATTGAATCAGGAGACTCTTTAATCTCTCTCAATTGATTGAGAGAGATTCAGAAAGATTTGATGACTCAGACACAGACGTAGCTTTAAATCTTTTTTCTACATACCTTGAGGTTCCAGGCGTGGCTCATGAATGATGACCATCCCACAGGAGCGTGGGTGGGTCCCCAGCATGCTTGGCAGCAGACCCGGAAATGGACCAGAAGCACTTCCAGTCCACTTCCGGGTCCACTGAGGAGCATGCGGGGGGCTCCCCGGCACCTCTCTGGCTCTGTGACTGGTGCCTCCTGGGCCTGGGGGGGCACCCAGGGTCCTCCCATGGCCGATCACTGAGGTGGGGGGGTCGCGGGGAAGCCCCCCATCTGCTCTGCAGTGGACTGGAAGTACTTCCAGTCCACTTCTGTGTTTACCACCAAGCACGTGGGCCCCCCCTCCATGCTCCTCTGGGACGGTCCATCCGCCCCACCATCACAGCATTCATGAGCCACAACTGGTACCTTGAGGTGTGTAGAAAAAACATTTCAAGCTGTGTCTATGGCTGAATCTCTGATTCTCTGAATCAGCATCAAATCTTCAGATTCGGATTTGGCCAAACCAAACTGGGACAATGATCTAAATCAACTAATGGAATCACTATCCCCGATTTGGGTCGAATCTGAATCTGAATTGAATATGGCCCATTTTGCACACCCCTAATATACAGATGTTCAAAAAGTCAGCAGACGAATCAATCCAAGTTACATGGTTTTCTCTAGTTTCAATCGGGGGTGAATAGTATACACATTCACCCTTGCAGGCAGGGGCACTCAGGCAGCCTGAGCTGGTGGAAGCCTACAGGTGAGTGGAACTCCTGCATTCTTTCCAATGTACCTTGCAGGCTCCCCAGGCTGCCAGAGAATACCAAACACAGCTGAGCACTCATGCCAACCCTGACTGCCTGCTGGGTATAAACAAGCATGAACCCCTTGCCACCTCACTGTGGATCCACCCTGGCATCCTGCCCAGAGGCTTCCAAAACAGGCCAAGAGTGAGTGCCCTCCCTTGTCGTGCCTTTGTGTCCCAGCCATGGTGTCCCACCACCCATGCCCAAGCCTGCAGACCCAGGAGCTGCAGTACATCCTGCAAGTCTTACTGGAGGCTGCAGGTCATCATGCACAGCCATCTGGACATGATCTGGTAGCTGGTCACCATGGGACACTTCTTCTTGCCCCTGAGCCACCAGTCAGCTATCCCATGGGGGGCCATCTATTGCACTCTGTGCCTGGGAAGTGTTCCAGATTAAGCCATTGACTTCATTATGGCTGAAGAGGATGAGGCCACCCAGAACACCATGGATGCCCAGGAGCTCTGGCACCACCTCCAGACTGTTGACTGCCAGTTCTGGGCCCACATCATCAGTACCTACTTATATATAGTACAAACTACACATGACCTTAGTCCAAATCCAAAAGGCTCATGATTTACCATATAGTTCATTGGGCTGGGCCTCATCACAGTCAACAGCATTTCAAGCCATGGTGACTGAAACTCAATTGCTGAAGCTGGGGACTGCTCATTAGGGCTGTGCAAAATTTCACCGGCAGTTTTGTTTCAATGCTGTTTCAACTCATGTCAAGCTCAAAACAGTGAAATAAAAATGAAACAGAGAGTTTTGAAATGAAACAA